ACTCTGCTTCGATTTTTGGTCCAGCCCATCACGGGCCGCTTGAAAATCCTCGGCCCAGTCTTCTAAAGTTTCCGAGCAATGATCGATCCACCCAGCAAGGGCCACCATGTCTTGCGGCCAAGCCGCCGCCAGCTCACGCGCCTTGCGGACAGTGAGATCCAATCTCGGAGACAAACCCTCAGCTTCAAACGGCTGAGAAACAATCTGCACAAGGTTACGGGCAGCCTGCACTTCAGTGTGATCAACGAACTTGTCAGCCTGCGTGAGAATGCGCTGACTGGTGTTCCTGAGGTCTGTCATCCCCTGTTGCAGCCACACCCATCCCTCCCCAATGCGCACATCGTCCTCTTCTTTGCACTTCGGGGGGGTCATCACAGGCACCCACTTAGCCTGAAGCTGCTTACCTTTAAGCCCTTTACGTTTTATGGGGGTGCCCGTTCTGCTTTCTAACTCTAACTCCATCGTATCCGAGAAAACTTTCCAAGCTCGGTCCAGGACCCCCCAAACTAAACCGACATCCTCGTGGTCGGCTCTACGGTTCGCCTCCTCGGCCACAGTTCGGGCCACGGACCAATCGATCGGCGGTGGGGTGGGGCCGATGGGCAGCTCTACTGGAAGTTTCTGGTGAGTCTGGTACACCAGCTGCTGCAGCTTGGTTGCCCCAGGCCTTAAACGAAGCTGAACCGGGCGATGGGGCCGCTTCGGCCACGTACAGTCAACCTCGGTGGCCTCCACCAGCTTGCAGAAGGCCGCCGACGCCATGAAATAATCGATCTTGGTGTTTGCTTTCGGTGTTGCACACGTTTCGATACTGGGCTGCATTATCATCATGGAGGCCTTGCGAGGCATGCCAGACGCCTCTGCAACTTCGGCTGAGAAATTCCAATCAGCAGCGAACACCGAGAGATGTACACCTTCTAAGACTGCACCTGCGTGTCTTAAAATCTGGAGGTTCCGCTTGCTCAGACCCTCACTGGTGAACATGTACGCGCAACCTGCTAGCAACTCGGGCCACCCTGGAATGTCGATCGTAGCAAAGATCAGCCTGTGTTGGATAAGTATACCTCTGGGCAACTTAGTGGGCCACCTCAGGCCGATAGACGTTCTTGCCAGTATGGCTACTCCAGCCGACGTCTGACCACCCTCACACTTGACCGAAGAGGCACAGAGCATGTTCCAGCCTAAACTCTTAGCTGTCGAAGTTCTCGCCGCAAGATCCTCTTCGGTAATACCTATTTCCTGTGCAAACACCACAAGAGCCTGTGTACTCATCAGTCTCTTCTTGAGAGTGCCCCAGCTGTTACCATTATACGATTCAAACACGTGCGCCTGACCCTCCAGGTCAGCAGGGGCGGCGGCTTTAGGCGGTAAGCCTACTCCGTGGGCCGAGACACGCAAACCAGTGCACTTGGGCCCCAGGTGGGGCCGCACACGGGCACCGTCAAACAAAACTGGTGGCTGCGGGGACTCAGGAGGCCTCGAAAGCTCGGGCACGCCGGTGTGCCTGACGACTCGCGCCTCGTCGAACTCGCCGAAGCTGATACCCTGGCCGTACTGTAGCACGTCTAACAGGTACCACAAAGCCTTGAGGTCCTCGAACGTCTGTAGCCTGAGCCACTTCTCGTCACAAGTAGCCCCGAAGAAATGCACAG